GGCGTTCCTCTGCCTTGGGATTTATATCTGTTTAAGATGGCGGGAACGATTAGGGGGAACTTATAATAGAATTTTCTAAGAAGGTTAAGTATAGGTTTACTAATCTTGACTTAGATATTCACATCCATCGGTCACTAACTTTTCCTGTCTATTTTTTGTTCTTATTTTTTTTCTCTAATTTTTAATATCCTAAAAAAAGATTATTAATTTAGATCTTTCATTGTTTCTCTTCGGATGATTAAACGTAATTTAGTCCCTTTTTCAACACGTAGTTTAGTTTTTCATTGGGAAAAAGATTGAAAGAAAAAGTAGACGACATGAATAAACTTGAGAGAGTCGTGAAACGATCTATTTGGATCAATAAATCAAATTTGATGTAGTAATTCTTATTATAATGGCCAAAACCGTTTTTTCTATTGTTGATAATCAATTTTTTTTAATACTCAATAAAATTACATATTTGATTTGTAACTTTGTATTTATGCGACACAAATACAAGGTTACTAATCATAAAAAAGGGTACTAAAACCGTTATCAGAAATGTTATATTCATTTTTTTGGTTCAACTTTCTCTTATCGATATTTCTAACAATTTTAACTTTGATTCATAAGAAGTACATACCGCTTTTGGTCAACAATAAGACCCTAACAGAAAATAGTTAAAAAAATACGTATCGTTTTTCTCTTATCGATACTTCTAACAATTTTTAACTATTTATGTAACCGCTTGCAGCTCCTTCTAATAGAGAAGAATATCTTCATGTTTTGTGCATTCGTTGCTAGTAAATCTACCTTCATATTTTTGTTAAATGGATGGTAAACAAGGGTAAACTTCATGAAGGATTTATGTAGTAATGCCAATTCGCATAGTTTGGTTGAGAAACATGCTCATTCCTCCGGCTTTGACACCATAAAGCCTAGCTCCAAAGAGTATGTCACCGAGAGAGAACGAAATCATTCTTCTTTTTAAGTTAGTCATGGCCTATATCAGCCCACACAACTCCATATAGAGTGGGGATACACCTTGTATGCCTAGAAGATCCATCGTACTATCTTGAAGTTCTAAGACCCATCCCAATCCACTGATATGGTCATCACTCTTCCAAAACCTATCCATAAAGCCTGTGAATGATGCTATTTGTTGATAGGACGGGGATCCTTAATCACTGGCTCACCTGAGATCGTATATTCCAGGCTATTAGCTAAGATCCACGCATCATTTTCCTCGCACGCAATATCTAAAATTTTCAAGACCAATCGATAACATTAATTTTACTTTACATTTTGAGTTTTTCAGATATAACATATCCACATATAAATCTGAATTGACTCTTCATAATTATGGTGTGGCGCCCGCCAAAAAAGTAGTCCAAATTCGTCAAAATATTTTTTGATAGAAAAATATTCGGGACCGAATGTATATTCAAGAGCGCCAACACTGTAGAGCTAGTGGACACAGAAAGATCGTATGATCGATAGTCTCTTACAAACTACATTGCAGACAACTTTCGGCTAAACACATATGTTTATAGCCCAGCCTTTCATTTACAACCAATGCAATTGAATTAATTTGTCATAAGAAGTGTCGTAGTTTACTCACTGATGACAATTTCCACATTCTCTTTAAGATAGTTGAGAGAAGGCTTCTGTGACATGAACTTCAATCAAGAGTCTTGTACCCAAATTTAACGGTATAGTTACTGAAATTAGTTAGTAAAATGCCAGCATAATCCATCTTCACCAAATCTAGTGAAGTAAGTTTTTCTTTCAAAATGTGTCGTGTTTTTGGCCAGAAATATAAAAATACCAAATAACGTTTTTGAAAACCATGTTTCTAAGAAAAAAATTGTGGAATGTTATTTTAAAAAGAAACTAAAAATTTTTTAAAAAAATAGAACTACATTTTTTTTATAGAATTACAATGAATTCGTGTTGCGGAAAAATATAATTTTCTTATAATCACATTTATATCAAATTCTCTTAGC